CTTAGGCCGAGTGGACCGGATGCCGCGGGCTCCGTAGCCGTGGCCGGCTGCGCCAGGAAGCACGTCGCCCGCGCCGACAGGCCACGTGACACCGGGCGACGACCCGGGCTGGCAGGCGGCCCGACGTCACGTGACCGCCTGTTAAAACAGCGGGCATTAGCGGCGGGTGTCGGTCGTCACCTCCCCCCCCCCCTGCCCGGCCAGCCGCCCAGAGCCCACCCAGACGGACCGTCGGCCTGTGCTGTCGACCGGCCGGGCTCGGGCAGAAGCGACGCGAGAGACGCAGTCCGCCGCCACCGCCTGCGCGCCGGCCCCTCGACAGGGGGAGGGGTAGAGGGGGGGGGGGAGCATCGGTACGACGGGCAATCGTCGGCTGTCGCTCTAAATCGCCGGATCGTTGCATGCAGATGACGCCGGGGTCGGGCATTTACAGCGGCCTGTACAGAGGTTCGGCGACCGGACTCCCATGTGTGGGGCATCTCAAGACAGGGTCCGTATCGAATAAAAGAGAGCAAGGAACACGCGCCGAAGAAAACAAGGAGACAGAGTCAGGAAAGTAAGCGGCGAGTAATGTGGGAGACAGAGAGAAAAAGGTCATGCGTATACTCGCTATATATACTCACTATACGTATACTATCTTGGTGTATACGTAATGTATCCTATGGATCTTTTCTATCTCTTTCTCAAATGTGGAAGATACACACATTGTCAGAAGAAGTAAGAGGTTAATGCACAGGATAGCAGTCGCTATCACTGAAGGCTACATTTGGCATATCCGCTAGGCTCTATCACCAATACCGCCCATTGCAAAGAAGTCCGCCATGAGTGATGTTGGTGATATAAACGTGTTGAGCATCATACGCCTTGATATAACGTGTTGAGCATGGGCTCAAACTTGCAAAGCCTAGCACTGCAGAGTATAGCATTTGAGGAGGTCTGACCGCACAGGCGACATTCTTTCCATCCCAGACCCTTCACCCATTCAAGACCCAGACCTTCACCCATTATTAGGTCTGACACTCTCTTCAACATTGATATTTTCCCCGTGCTTAGGTGCATGCCGTAATTCTCTGGATCTTATAGTTTAAGATCACTTCATGTCCACCGACAGAAGCGGCCATTAAATATTATAGAGCACGCATAGTCTCTGAAAAATTATGAGCTTATCCTTTCACAAGGTGGTCTTGCAGATCTGTTCGCCGTGTGGTTCATATTTTTTTCAAGCCGACCTGTTTTGGCGCAGTGAAGTGTTGCTGGTTCGTGTGGGAATTGGGTTCACCATGACCATTAACTTCCTGACATCAGAAGTGGATATAATGGATAATAGGTCGAAACTAGCGATGTTTGTTAAATGTAGCACTGCTCATTGTGTAAAACATGTCCTGCTGGATAATATTTATCGTAACAAAACATGATGGATTGATGTGAATAATAGCGGACTGCTGTGGTGGCCCTCACGTTTTATATTTCTATCTGTCCTATCCATCTATTTATCTATCTATCTATTTATCTTCTTTTGTAAGATATAATATATATATATATATATATATATATATCATGGCCTTAGCCCATGAACTTAAAAGTAACACTAACATTTGCTTGGTTCCTCGCCATCGATTCAATCGTACACGAAGTGCTACCGTACGTGGATGGCAGATCCAAATTAAAAACCTCCCAGGCTCAATGTGCAAATGCAAGTGAAAGTGTAAAGTTGCATTTGATATTGATCACAATGTTTTTAACGCAAAGAGCCTGGGGCTATTCTACAGGAGCACACATCTGTACAATGAATAATCTTACGTAGGGGCCGGAAAACTAATGAAGAAAAGTAACGCATATGTTACCGATTAACGTTAAATAACCACTACATCACTAACTAACTGTTTCAATCGTATACAAACGTATCTATGTATGTTTAAACCTTCAGTGTAGACACTTTGGCCGCTCGGAATCAATGCATCTCACATGCACATCACTTACACATGCACACTGAACATAGTTTTAGGGTGAAGTGAACTGGTAAGCCGAGGGACCACTTTGCGCAAATGATGATCTTATCATCGTTATGCATCCTTTGTCGTGATACACTGATCTAAGGTATCTGAGTGCCTCTTATCGCTCTAGAGACAACAAAAGGATATTTTTTAAAAAAATTTCCATTGGGGACATGGGTGAAATGACCATTTGCTGCTAAACACATTGTGCCGAGTGATTGATTCAATTTTGTCGAGCAGAAGCTGACAGGAACACGTCAGCCTCTGCTGCGCGCAATTGACCTAAGGTAGTCCGTCACTAATAAGCTAGCAACACGTCTTCTGCCACATGGACCAGGAACGTAACATCAGAACTTAGTGTTGTCTCGAAGACCTCTAAAGCATTGGCTATGGAGTCAGTTCGTTTGTGAACCGATATGAAAAGTTCATAACGCCTTATGCAATGTCATATACACGCGTTACGTGAACGGTACATGGGGGTAAAAGTACATGCGATAGTACCTGCAACAGTCTGCAGTGAAGTTTTGAGAGAAGTCTTTCACTGCGGGACTGCTCCCAAAGAGGTTTCAACTCGTTGTTTACAGAAGTTTTCGACGATTTCTATTGCGCTGCACGGGGCTCAAAACAGATGAATCTACAATTGCTGATGGTAAAACTTCTAGGAACGGCAACGGCCGACCGGGCCACTAAAGACGAAATTTTCTTATTGTTGAATTACCTGTCCTGCGTCCTCTCCCAAAATCACTGGTACTTGCTACGGCCGTACGCATGCACCCATAACACAGTATACAATGCAGCTCACCAGCAACAGCTACGGTAAGGAAGAACAAGAAAAAAGCGCTTTCAGCCGCATCGCATGACGCGGACACGGGACGCGGACCAAGAGAAACAATACGTCCGCGCCTCCTTTTACGTAACTTTCGACAACTGCTGGTGATAAACACCCAAAAAGACAATGCTGCTGCCTTCATTGCTATTGCTGTTTGCAACTTGTCTTGGCAAACTATTGCAATTTGCTTAGGCCAGCAAGTGGGACCTTAAATAAACATGAATGAAAAAGATACATTGTATACCAAGAGCACCAGTATCTGTGTACACAAATTAGCCTGCCAAGAACTGGCGCTATAGGTAAGTGCTTTTCTCTTTTATGAATTTTCCTAGTGGGTTTTCGTCATATAATATTAAAAGCCCTAAATTTTCAGCAGAAAAGACGCATACGGGATACGTATTTAAACTAGAAAACAAAAACAACAAATAAAAAAGCAAGCATCACGTGATGCCCAAACGTGATCATTTCCTGGCCAAGGCAGTTCGTTCTCTCTTACTTGAACCGTTTGCCATCCCTTCCTTCACTTGAGAAATGTTTCCCTTCAACAACAAAGGTGTTTTAAGACTTGCTTTTAATCAATTGTTAGTATCTTGCCGGCTCAACTGATTATGTAGCGAGCTCATGAAATGATCCGTCCGGTAAAGCAACCAATCAGAAACGTTTAACGTTTCAGTACTGCTTGGCAGCAGGGCTTCTCTTTCCCCAGGGTCTCACTTTTCCTTTGGATATTAACGTTCTAAACAGGACAGAATGAAAGCATGGATCGGGCAATTTGTATTGAGAATTAAACATCAAAGAGCCCGTGAGAGAGACGGTTTATTTAGTTTGGCAGATCTGAGACCCGCCGTGCTGCAGCGGGGCCAGAGCCAGAATAATCTTGAACCGATGTGGTTTGGATAACCAATTATGAGGGCCCCGAAGCCACCAGTCACTTTCGACTAAGCCGCCTGACAAATTTGCTAACACGTGCATGCTTGTGTAGGCGATCGCCCTCATTTGCGGCTATTGCCTTTACACGGCCGCCCCCGCGTCGACCGTCACTCGGCGCCAGGGTCGGAGGAAGGGGAGCGCTGCAGGTTCGCTCGGCGCCGACTGCAGGCCCCTCCACTGCGTGATAGGGGTCGGCGCGGGCCAGGTAAGTCGATTTGCAGCAGGAGCAGCGTCCCACGGGCTGCGTCCCGCCGGAACTCGCTGAAATGAGGCCCGCAGATTTATAAATCCAGTCGCACCCCGGGGAGGCATTGGATCCGCGGAAACAAGCCGCAGGCGCCGCCGCTACAGGGCTCGGGGTCGGCCGGGAGAGCCGAGGTGAAATTATCAGCGCCGCTGAGTGATGGCCCCGGGCTGCGGCCGGCTGGCGCCCCGCCGCCCGATACGAGAGCCGCCCGGTTGGTCGACCAAGCGTGTAATGCTGATCAAGGGGACAAGCGTGCTGCGTTCGGAAACTTCGCTTCAAGACGGAGGTAAACTTCGATGGAAATTATAGTTTTTCCTGCTGGTGCGTAATGCCGCGCTTTTACGAAGAAAGCTTGCTTAGACAGATCCGGGACGATCAGAAGTCTCTTGTTCCCCGTGCTGCGATTATGGAACGATTCGCACTCTGAAACGCGTTACGCTCTCGTGGCATGAGATTCAGTAACATGCGCAGCAAATCGAGTAAAAGTGACATGGCGTCCTTCATTTTAAATTCGACGCATAACTTTGCAATGCACGCGCACGGGGGAAAACCACCCATAACTCACATAAATCATCTTAATCATCACCGCGACAGCCATCTCCTCATCTTCAACTAACTCGTACGTTACAAACGAGCCCCGCGCGGTCGTGCCCGCGGTTCCTCCTCGTATCGTCGCTGGAGCCGCCGGCGATCCGTACCCTCCCCCGATCATGCCGGGGACGCTCTGTGACGTCACGGCCGCAGGCGCCGCGGTCTCGTCGGCGCGCGTCGAGCCGGTCTGACCGCGGCGGCGGGCGGCGCGCCGCCCACTGTGCCGGCGGCCGCGCTGTCGGCACGTGCCCAGCTACGATCCGCCGCCGGGCTCGGATTGCGCGGCGAGGGGGTGCACGGCGGAGAAGGGGGTGCGAGGCGCCTCGTGCCGCGGCGCCGCGCAGCATGTGACCGGACTCCAGCGCTCCGTGCGGGCCGCTGCGCCGTCTGCGGTCGTCTCGGTGGGACCGGCCCGGGGCGAGGTCCCGCCTGGAGCCCGCGGCGGGCCCCGGCGGCGAGCCCAGCTCTGCGGGACGTGTCAGGGGACGTCAGGAGGGCCGGGAGGCATGCCGTGCGGCATGGCGGCCAACACAGACGTTTACCCGAGCGGCAGCATCTTCCATGAGCTGAAGCTGGTGCTGGACAAGGGCTACTTTCGGTCGTCGTGTCCACTGGAGGAGCGGTGGCAGCAGGTAGGTCATCACAGCGTCATACGGCCTGCGGTTTTTCTGAGCCGTCCGGGAGTCCGGTAGGCAGGCTGAGATTTTGGGAGTCGTTCTGACGACTTTGCTTACAACTTTGAGAGCAGCAGTCACCCAGTATTTTATAAGCACACTGATTTCAATCTGTGGTGGTGTTGCAAGCTTGGATCAGTTATTTGTTTCATTACATATCACGTCTTGCAAGGTCGCCATGACGAACTAGGCTGAGCTGTTTGGCAATGCAATATGGCGTTGCATCGAATTGGGAGGCCTACCGATCCTTGAGACGTAAATAACCCCGGTGTTATGATGTGAAAGCCGGCGAAAACTCATCGAAGCCCTATGCTTTTTGCAAGAAAAAGACGTCTACTGAAATGGCTTGATTGCTCATTCGTAAATGAAATGCATCGACTTTTGCTGATAGCCTTTGTTGCTGACAGCTGCACCGAGATCAAAAGATTATCATCGGAGCTCTTAGTAGGCGGACCATTTACCTACCGCCAGCGATTTTCTTGTTTTCAGCCTCTCTCGTGTCTCTTCATATGAAGGAGATGCATATGATTGGACTCGGGAGGCACTTACGACAAGACCAGTGCGATGTGCTGCAGGCTGCATTAAACTCAGCGGCAAGGAACAACAGTTGTTTTGATAATCTTAGCTGTAACAAGTCTGTGTTAATTTTGCTGAATACATCACAAGTTTCTTTCTTAAAGAAGTATGCGCTCAGCTCTCCAGGTTTGTTGAGTCGCCTCTCATTGTACAGCAAACAAGCAATAAAGGTCCGGCTTCTATACAGTCGGAGCGTAGCCTAAGCGTGCTGTGCAGAAAGCAGCGCAAACCAATGGGAGCGGCGAGGCGAGGTTGATGCGCAGCCGCCGTGCAGAACAGAGAGCCCCGAGCGACCGGCGCTGCTCTGCATCTCGAGCCATGCTCCTCAGCTGTCTTCTACGCCTCGATCGGACTCCCGCGTGCCCAAAACCCCGACTCCCGGCTGCCTCTGGATCCTATCCTCGGGTTTCCTGTGCCCAAACCCTCACCATGGTAGAAGACCGCCCCAACGCAGCAGTTTGATGAGGCAAAGGTACCTGAATTGACTTCCCTCACTCCTGGATCCGACCCGCAAGCATCCCGGATCCTTCCCTCAGCTGTCCCCCACACCTGGAGCCGACCCTCAAACGTCCTGGGTCCCTTCCTCAGCTGTCCCTCATGCCTGGAGCCGACCCTCAAACGTCCCGGATCCTCCTCAGCTGTCCCTCACGGCTGGATCTTCAAATCCTGCCGGCCGCGACGCTCCCTGACATGCTGGCTCTGGACCCAGTCCCCGCCAGTGCGGACGTGCCACTTCCGCCTCCCCCTCCCCCTCCCCCCCGTTGATGCACACCGGCAGCTCAACAGCTGTCCCACCTCGGCGGGCAGCTTCCGGTTGAGACACATAAATCAGCGACGCAACCCGCTTCCGGCGCCTGCTGATGGCAATCTTAAGCGCGTTGTCAACGCAACAGAATGGGGTTCTGGCATAAACACCAGGGCGACTGCTGGACGTGGTTCATTCGGCAACTGTATCTTCTCGTGCTGCGCAGGCGCGTTAAGAGCCTATTCTCTTGTGCAACTCTTTGGCGCTGCAGTTTACGGGAGGCACTCACTGAACATTTGCAGAAATCGGCGATAAGCTTTGCCGTGTCCTGATGTCGTCAAACCCTTTGCAATACGATGGGATACAAGCTACAATGATTATAAAAACCAAAAGATCGGACAAGGGTCTCGTTTCTGGCAGCAGCTAGCCTAGAGCACTCTGGTCCCACGTCGCGTTTAGTCATCATCTCCCGCACGGTATTCAGTGACGCTATTTATGGGTGTTGTATGAGCACACCGTCGCAGCGCCGGCGAGCCGGGCGTCAAAGCAATCCCGGGCGGAGTCGCTATCGGCTCCCGGCTTTAGGGGTCTAAATTCAGGTCAATCGATTTCTTTAATGATGAGTAGATGTCAAGATTGGTCTCGTGTATACATACATCGGAAGTTAACTTTGATTGAACTCTAACCTGAACGCATGCTAACAACTCGGTGTTAAATATCCTTGAAATCAAGGATTCCGACCCGGACTGCGGTCTAAATTGAAGTGAATGGAGACTTAACTCAACTACAAGCAATGGAAACGTATCCTCGAGGACTCAACAAAGTTAGCAGGGGTTCAAACATAACTCGGGTCCGTCGGTGTAGCTTTACCTCTATTGTGTTTCATTGAGCCCGGTTTACGCTTAGATCATTTTCAGTGTCGTATTTCTGAGTCGTGATGCTAGCCTTAATCACAGCTCACATCTGAAGCAGACTCGGGTAGCGTCAATATTATTCAGCCGTTATGTCCATTCTGATAAAAAATGCATACTGTGAAAATACGTATGCCTGTCTTACGTATACGTATCGTAAGCATGTACTGCGCTTGGTTAGCCTTTTATAGTCTAGGCTAGGTTACGTCACCTCTGTCATCGGGATCACTGTTGGAATTTCAGACATTAGTGACATTCAAAAGCCCTGTAATGATGAGGCATAACGGGCTCAACATTTGGTGTGAGCTGGTATTCGACGTTTTTGCATATTAAACGTATGTAAGAAAACTTTACTAAAATAGCGCACTGTAGGCGCTGCTCCTGTCACCTTAACTCGAGGACTTTCCGCAAGATCCGCCTCAGTCTGTATCACGCAGAATGACGCCAACAGGTGTCGGCATACACTGCCATGCAATGTTCAATTCTTTAATGCCGTGCCAAAATTGAGAGAATACTAACGTTCTTAGCATCATTCAAGGCCGCATTAATGAGCTTTTCTGGGAGCACCGCGATCTTCCTTCAATAAGCAGCTTTTCCATGTTGTTACGGTATGTTTGCGTTTTGCATCAGACGCTGCCCATCTACTTGCTCACGCGCGAAATGCCAAATTCGTCATATACGGCGCGCTATTAGTTAATTGTAAAATACGCGAGGAAAACACTGAAACTACTCTTTTGAGTGCAGCTCTTTGTGCAATTCAGCCAGGTTTTTGCTGCATTTGCGATTTGGGCTTTGCCTGCCATACCACGTGGCTGCAACGCGGCGCCACTACCACTACGACGTAAATGCGCAAGATGGCCGCGGCTGACGTGTAATGGCTGTTGTCCACGCGACAACACGTAGGGAACTGAGCAGGACCTGTTGGGGTGGTGTCGATCCTTGCCTTGAGCCTTCCGAAATACTTCAAACAAACAAACGGCGAAACACTTTCAAACTCTGGCTTCTAACTCCCGATGAGTTCCAACCACGGCCGTGAGCTGTCCCTGTCCAGGGACGCCGGCTTCCGCCGCCAGAGTCAGGAGCCCTTGGTAACAGAATCTTTGATTCGTCGCGAAAACTGCCTGCTAAAGAATGCATGCTCTGATGACCAGGCCCAGACGGGGCCTCTGAATCGCACCGGCCGACAGGCTGAAGGATATCCCCATCAGTGCCCTCGCGTCGCCCGTCCCCTGCCACTCGATAAGTGACTTTAATCTGTTCCCTCCTGGGCTATTGATTTTCGTTTAAGCCGGACCCAGTGTGAATAAGTCACCGACTTTCGCGCACAGGCGTCGGCAGACAGAACTTTTGTGCGGTGGAGTCGACGGCGCGGCCAGCTTTGATAGCCGGATCGCAATCAGGCGCATGGTAAAAAGGAAGCATCCGGGAACAGGAGCTCAGAAATAGCTCATCTGCACGGGAGCGGTAGCAGGAGGTGGGTCCATGCTGCAGCTCCTCGAAGGAACCAGCAATATGCGTTCATCATTCCCGCTTAACTCATGCGAAATCTTTCTGGGCTCGACATCGACATCATCATCACTTCTGTTTCGTAATGTCGGTGATCAGTCCTTAGCCTGTCGAAAGGAAGGTACTCCCCTGGAGACTCCTGCTAAAAAAGTCGTAATAAAGTGCAGGTGTAGATGAGATTCATCTGTGTTAAGAACAGTGTTAACGACGATGCGTGCGACTAGTAACCACTGTACACTACCACTTACATACCGCAGGTAATACTTTTTTATCGGATTTGAAGCACGAGGAGCCGGCCACGGCTGTAAACGGCCCTTTTTTGCCTGAAGCATGGCGGTGACTCTAAATTGCTGGTGGCTAACAAGCTATCTGGAAGAATCCAAGAAATTGGCCGCATTTGTTCTGACCATGTTTCGATATGTCGACGGTCGACGAGTGCCGGGCCGATGCTGGGGCGGAGTGTTTGGATAGCGCCTTTATGGTGATGTATGCCATTGTAAACCCTCATACAGTTGATGATGAAAGCGGTTCAACTGCAGCGCACATCTGCTAAACAACTACTCCGTTTATTGCTGTTGAAAACGGACGTGAATATCTCCACCTTAGGGATTTTTCTTTTAATGGATGCCAACAGATGCCTACTGAAACAGACGGCGATGAGCTTGGTGACGCCGCCAGGAGTGACGGCAGGTGGACGTCAGGATACCGAGTCCCCTTTTGATTACCTTTAGGACGATTGGGTTGATTATCTAAAGTCAGGACGTGTTAAACCCAGGACGGGCCTGTTGTGAGCTGCCGCAATATGTATTGTGTGGTGCGAGCGAGCTGTGCGAGCTACAGACAGCGCTCAGGGTCTCGTATACAAATGTCTCCGTGCGTGGCATTCTTATACTAAATGAACACCAACATTCAGATGTCATTTGTGCCGGCCACAATTCGTTGGACGTCGGATTAATTTCCTACCGCGGTAAGACGACGTTAAAAGTAACTTACGTCTCAAACTAATAAAATCCTCGGCGGGGAGGAGGAGGGGAAGACAGCGACTCAACCTCCGAGCTTTGCCAACAACTTATTAATTGCTCCAGGGGGACTCATCATGTTTTTCCTGACCTGACAAGTGATCAGCACGACGCTTCGGTGGAACGATTGCATGCTACATCAGTTCACTACGTGATGATGCTTTACGTAAAGGCTTGCGCAGTGGTCTACGGGTGTTTAGT